GTAAACGTCACAAATGATTCCCAGAGGGAAACGACAGAAAATTTGAGAAATGCTTTCAGGGAAGAAAGTAGTGTCGCCATAGGATTCGTAGTCCAATTGTTAGGTGAAGTGGTAAAGGGGATAAGCTGACTTCATAGCTATGGTGGTGAGGGACTATTAAATTTTTGAAACCATTTTTGTAACCTAACTAAAGGAGATCTGCAAAGAAGATTCCTTTTTAGCTAGATGAATATTTCCTAAAAACTCACTGAAAGATTTAACAACTCATTTTTTTCTTTTACTCTGTCAAGGAGTTTCTTATTTCCTGGGTAGTACTGTGTTGGTTAAACTGGAGAACGACTCGACGAAGTCGTCACGATTTTAAATGTCAGATGCAGTCATTCTTCGATATTCTTCATCGATGGCTGGTTACAGCAATTCTTTCTGCATTGCAATCAGTCGGTGATATCAGATGATTAATCCAACTGACAGATTTATACAGGTAGCAGTGAAATTAAATCAACGGTATATTAAATTAATACGTCGCGAATAATCGTAATAACAGGATATGGTTAGTTGGAAATGGTGATTTTATCTCTCTGCTTTCTTTTCTAAAAATGTTGTAAATGATTTTGACATGAGAATTTTAGGGTTGACGTCGCCTTGTTTTACTCCACTCAGGGTAATTGAGTCGACTTGGAGGTAGAACGGACACTATCTCGTAAGACATATTCGTTTAATGGGAAATTTAAGGCGCTCTCGAATTTAGGACTTCTCAGAGCGTTACGGAGCATCGTAATACGACGTATACGCATTTCCGGATCTTTTAAGGGATTAAAATTGTTGTGAGTAGTCGTCGACATCGGAATGGGAAAACTTGTCAACTCATTACATTTATTTTTCGTACCAGGTAGCTCTTCCAACGCTAAAAAAAATCCTTCTTATTAATAATAATAATTCAGTGTTGAACAATTTTAGTAGTAATATCATATGGAGAGGAAAAATCAGTAAAAATTACCTATCAATTTGGTAATGTGTTTTGATATTTTAGCCGTTTGGGGAAAATGACTGTACCGCTCAGGAAAATTTGTCGCCTGCTTAGTAAAAGTTATCCGCTTGAAGAAATATACGAACCTTTTAGGTAATTTTCCCTAAATGGCTGAATAATTGCTACTAATTTAATAATAAAAATTTGTAAACTCTTTGGTAAACGCTATCCACCCGTTTGAGGAAAATTACCTAGAGGTTATGTAATTTTTTTTCGAATGACTATATATAACAGTTACCCAGCAGTTGACAAATCTTACTAAGCAATATCGTAATTCTCTCCAAACGGCTAAAACACAGCACAATTGCCAAGCGGTTACGTAGTTTTGACCATTTTTACTACACTAACAACAAGTTTATTGAAAAGTGAGTCTTTGCTTGTATGAAGAAACTCGTACTCGACGATTTCTACGATAATGATATCTTGCAGAAAAAAAACTTGAGTCAAAAGATTTTCTAATTCTCCGAAAAATGATTAGTAATGAATAGACACCAAGAAGGCGATTCCTCGAGCCATATCAAGTAGTTTTTACATTGAAATTTTTTGGATTTGAGAAAACAAAACTCGTCAGTAAAATTACTCAGCTAGACTTGGCTTGAGCAATTACATTTGCATTATGAATAAATTATGATCATCTTTGGAACAATGCCGAACTACTTGATAAACACTTTTCTTTTCTGAGGGTAAAATATGTTTTTTTTTGGCAATGGTAAACTTATAGTTTAGCCCTGATACACCCCTCCCTTAAAAAATTAGAGAGAGAGAGAGAGAGAGAAAGGGACATATAGGCGGAGAAATAAATACACCGCCGTAGTATCATGCAGGTTGTTCAAATGTTCCTGAGATTCCCGGACCCTCTCTGTCCCGTTTCTGCACTGTTGACACGACGAGTGAATTACATTATATTCTATAATTTAAATAGGTACAGAAGGGTAGCAGTGGGGATAGTACTCGTCGAGTTATGTTAGTGATATTAGGTGGTTAGTTGAGGTGAGGCGATACAGTTGGTGATTGAGTGATCTGTGCGGAACTACCACCAAAAACTAACATCTTTCTGGGTGTTCAGTGTCGGCAGTGTATTAACATGTGAGGTCTTTGGAACTAACACATTGCCAGCTCCTCGTTGTGGTCTTGATGGATAGCACAGAGAGCGACGAAGTAGCACACTTAATTCTCAAACTAATTGGCTCCCCAAAAACGGCCTCCAGGTTTCCAGATCCTAAAATAAGGATCAGAAACCTCCACATTACACCATATAATTCAAGCTCGGGGGGG